CCCCAAAACCCCAAAACCCCAAAACCCCAAAACCCCAAAACCCCTAAAAAAATGTAAAAAATTGAACTATATATGGAGAGGAGTAAGAAAGTTATCTGTTTGTTGGGCAGCACAGGATTTTTGGGAACTACAATAGTTAAAAGAGGCTTCAAAAATGATATGTTCAGGAATAAGTATAAAATCAGGATTGTGAGAAGGGATGATGATGGAATTCAAGCATTTGAGAGAGCCATCTATGAAGAAGATGATAAGAAGGTAGAAAATGATGAAGAAGAAAGTCTCATTAGATCTACAGCCACTCGGGAAAAAGAGCGGGTAGGTTCTCCTTCTTAACCTTTTAGGGATTTTTGGACTATGGTTATATGATCTCGGATATTACCGATCGTGGTGATCTCTACGATGCTATTAAAGGAAGCAATTTTGTCATTCACTGTGCATCCTCATATCCTGAAAAATGGGAAGAAGATAAAGATGAGCTTAAATAAAACAAACGAGGATGGCCTTCAAGCTGTTCTGGATGTGTGTCTTGAGGTTAATAACGAGTCTGAATCTCCAGGTCATTGTCCTAAAGTTGAAAGACTTATCTATACTTCTGACCTATCTACCATCTTAGACTATGATAATTTAAAAGAATTTACAGAAGATTCCCCATTAATCAGCGAAGGTTAGTGCACTATTCATTAAATCTTCCTTCAAAATCGATATTTTTATTACCGAAAGATAAAATTACTCTATTTTTTTTATTTTTGAGCTGAAAGTCTAGATTCGAAGCTGATTTCAGAATATACCAAATCCAAGATTAGATGTGAGAAGATATTACAAGATCATATCCAAGATCAAGAAAAGTGAAGAGAGTTGCCAGTTGTAATCCTCCGTCCTGCCAACATGGTAGGCAGATTCTTAGGTAATTAGTAAAAATGACCTTTAATAGTCAGGAAAAAGTTCACATCAGGAGAGTTCATGAAGAAGATGCTATATGGCATGTTCCCAGGTGTCCCAAAGATACAAGTTCATCTTGTTTCTGTGGATCAAGTAGCTGATGATCATTTAGTTGCTTGAGATCCTCAAGTTCCAGCAAACACGGCATATTGTCTCTATGAGGGTAAGATATCTTAAAATTATACCTAGAGAGCATGCTAAAAATTAAGATTGGAAGTCATATTAAAACTAATATCAAGAATGATGAGTTCCATCCATCAAGCCTCGGCATTAGCAAGTTCACCTGAATACTCGCTTCCTTCTTCATCACCGATGCCAAGATTGCTTTGAAGCAATGGGGAAAGACTCTCAAGGTTGATTTTACCAATTCAAGAGATTTTTTCACAAGCCATGATGGGTAATGTCCTCTATTGAGATTTTAGGGATGTTGAAAATGGAATCATCAAGATGTGCAGCGACATCATCAGTTCAGACTACAAGAAAGTAACTGAGGATTAGTTTCAATAGTGTTCATTAAAACAGGGGTTTTGGGGTTTTGGGGTTTTGGGGTTTTGGGGTTTTGGGG